AGCACACCCGTTAGAGGCACTCATTAGATTTCCTATGGATCAGAAAAACAACCCAGAAGACACCAAGAACGCTTTGCGGATCGTATTGCAGCCAAACCTGCGAGGCAGAGGCGATGAGGTACTGAACATGTTTACGACGTTCGGCAGTTTGGTGTGGCGATTGCCGAAGATTAAACTTGGACAGATCTGAGTGGACTTTTTGTGGGATTGACTTTGCCGCATGTTTTATGTGAGGTACATATTTTGTAATGTTCAGAAACTGTTATTGCTACGGCATCCTTATATTGAATGAATTATTTGTTTAACACTTACATTTGTATTTATTTTTATTTGACAAGTTAGTTGTTCGTTCCCCCAGGCGGTATAAATGCCTGTATGCTCCTCACCACGCCAAATTAGCTAGCCTGAGATTCGAATACGATTATTTTTATGAAATTGGGAGATTCGCACCGGAGCCTAAATCCGGTTATCCACGTCCTCCATTGTGCGTAAAACGAAATATCTCGCGGTGGACTTGGTGCGAGAAATACCCGAGTTTCACATGTATCGATCATCAACAATTAAATATCAGTGATTGTGTAGCCAATTCGAAAATTAAACTACATATAACGGCGACTTACGCCTTGTTTAGAAAGAAAGCAGGTACAACGCCTTGAGTTAACGAAAAATTAGTTATTCTTCTACTATCGAAAAAGCTGACAAGAGTGGGTAACAACAACATCGATTGAGCTTTTGGAAATTCTGATCAAGAGTTTTTTAAGTAGAAAGTATTTTTTTTCTCTAATGTCAAGTTTTGACATAATATAAGTCGGTTATCGCAACTCATTTTCGTGTAGTATGTTGTTAATGCCGCAGTTTGGTGAGCATCCTATAAACATATCTTACATTCAGCCTAATACATGTATATAATGCTAACTGTACTATGGCATTTACTATCGTAATTGTCTCTACATGAGATGCATGTCATCAGGTTGGGCTAGCGATGGCCATATGTCTCTGATATATGTCTCAGGAAATAGACGGATATTGCGTAATTTTATGTAACACAACGTGACCACATAAAGACCAATCATGGCGTAGACTGTGAATATTGCGTGTTTTACATGTTACAGACACCAATCCAAAAACTCCTTCATCTCAAACGTGTTTAAAACACTTTTAATTGTGATTGTCTTTATTGAACCCATCTTACTGAATGTGAATTCCATCGCAATGGAACTTGAAATGATAGTTTACTTACAGTTTTTTCCACGTGAGTCGCCGTTGATACTGCAATTAAACTCAGAAAGATAATTATACGATCCATATTTTCACCTTGACGTCACAAACTGGAAATCAATGAGGGTAACACATTACATAAAAAGGAAAACACGTACCAAGTAAACGTTAGGTAACAGGTATTATTTTGTAATCGTTGTCCTAAGTAACTGTTAAAAATACGTATTATAAGTAAAATAGCATGACGGTTCAAGTCTTTTTTTGACATATAAACATGTTAATGTGCTTTGTTAAAGAATTGTTATATGCTTTGAAAAAAATATTCTCCGAAAAGTTCAGTTATTTTGAGTAGTTACTTGGAATAACAATTACCAACTATTGCTTACTATTTTTCAACCATATTCGTAAATGACTGTTACTGTGTTGTGTTGTGTTGTGTTGTTAGTTAGGCTACAAGATTATCATAAACATCAATCATCTTAGGAAAGTGTAATAGTAATCTGTTGAATTTAAGTCGGAATTCATACTGACCATTTAAAGATAAATATATTTTCCTAATTTTGCACGTTATACAGCGAAAACAGGTTAAAACAATTGACGATCATGAATAAAATTGTCGCCACAGGTACAAGCAACCGCAGGTGAAATGACGCAACTCGCAATTTTCGGCTGGAAAAACAACGTATAATATCCAACGCGACTACTAAGGTTTGGTTATTGGTTAATTGTTTGAAAACTATGAACTTTGAAAAATACTAAAACTAGATGAATACGTTCACCTACCTTATTACAGTGTGATCTTGTTCCCAAGTAGTACTACTGTCGTCGTGTGTGACTATCAACGAAAACCTCTCACTTTTTATAATAACCCAGCTATCAGGGGGACTATTTCTAAATACAAATCAGTCTTTGTTTTCACAAAACGAACATCATTTTGATGTATATGTGAAGTAGTGTGTGTCCTTAAAAGCATTTCAAAAACACGTCGAACAACGTGATGCGACAGTGCCATTCGTTCACTGACACTTACTTGGATGTTAAAATAATATTGTGTTTCAATGTTGTTTATAGTTGTACCCGTCAACTGTACTCTGAAAATGTCAATTCATGAAAGAGAGCACTTCACGTGATGACTGAGTGAGCTCGAGTGCGCCTTCTCTACTTCTCTTTTCTACTACAAAATACATTTAATCATGTCCGAATACCAAGGTTATTTTGCGGTCTCAAAAAATGTTTCTTCATGTTCGATTACCTGATGCAGTAGGGTTTTTGAGTCCCAAAATAAATTTCTCAATGTCCAATTGTCGAGATTGTTTTGGGTTTTCAAGTCCGATTACCAGGCATGTTGTGGATCCTAAGTATGGTACTTCATGATTTATAACTGGGCCTGATAAAATAGAGTTATTAAGTGCACAATATGTTTCTCTAATTGTTCGTAATAGAGTATGTCACATTAAAACAGTTCAATGTTGAAAAAAACTTGATGTGACAGGGCCATCTTTACATAAAAACACATTTGAAAACAAGACCATTTCATGAACGACTAAAACGCACTTGGATTTTACAAATAACAATACTGTGTTTTAATGTTGTTTATAATTGTTCCCATCAACTGTACTCTGAAAATGTCAATTCATGAAATCGAGCATTTCACATCATATTGTAATGACTGAAACATGAGTGGGCCTTCTCTACTTCTGGAATACGTGTACATCAATGTGATTTTACTATCACACAAAGACACGTTTCAAACAGTGATATTCAAGTGCACGAACAAGTATAACAAATCCGAATTCTGATATGTAAGAACGAAGAGACCTGTAATTGTATTATACTTCATCATTTATTGCACTGAATTGTTTATTAAAATAATGAAGTATGGTTGTGGAGTCCCAAAATATATGTCTTCACGTCCGATTACTGGGGGTCCAAAAGTATGTTTCTGTATGTTCAATTACCGAGCTTGTTGTAGGTTCTATATTATGATTCTCTTAATTTTCAATTACCGTGCCTGATTAAGTAGAGTTATAGGTCTCAAAACATCATTTGTCTAAATATATATTTAGATCAATATAATGTGAACCAAGTAGCATCGCCAGAAATGGACAAAAGAATCTGGTCAAATAGAAATTTCCTGTCTATTCCATTGCAGTGATTATAATTACATGCAAAATTATTCAAGACAACAAATGATGTCATAGACTTTAAAAGTCTGTTGTTTAGCCTAATGAGAGTCAATTGTTATGATAAGTAGTTCACAGCTTAGGGTTGGAAACAATAGTAAGTGAGATAATCTTTTGTTTCCTTTGTTCTGTGCCCACTTGTATTTGTTAGCTGATCATAGGAAGCCATATAATAAATGGTTGTGGTTACCAGAGGACGATATACCCTCAAGTACACTCTTAAGTTGGCATTGAAGACAGCCACACGTTATATACTTAATACAAAAATCTGAGGACAGACTAATCTTGTGAATTTTATTGTTGTCGTCAACGGCGATTGGTATGCAAATTACGTTTGTCCGACGCATTACAAGACAAAAGTCAAGACTGTCGTTGAACAATGCAAAACTCACGGACATACGTCGTGATGAAACCCCTTCTTTAAAACTGCCATACAATATGATGATCTTGTGGTCAGACCTTTAGCACCAAAAGCAGTATAGCGATAGTGGTTCGTGTTCGAAAGGTGGGATGGTTTCACATGGAATAAAGGACATAATCTAAAATAAATCTTGATTTATGTTACTTCCGGTTGTTAATTTGATTAAAACAGTTGTATTTGCTAACAACTGGATCATACATCTGTGTGAAAAAAATGCAAGAATTTCAACGCTAATTTGGGCTGCGAATATTGCGGCTACATATGCGTCAGCTGGGTCGCTGTGTTCAATGAACCAGAAAGTATCCAGAACGAAGCAAACAAACTTGAAGAGTCACATACGTCATTTTCCAATTTTTAAAAATAGAGTCTGGCACACAAATTCACATCGTCCATTGGTGAAACACTGGGTCAGTGTAGGATTTATCATCAGGTTTTACGGCAAGTTGGGCATTTAATGATGGAGTTTTAATAGAAACATCCATAACATACGAAAGCGTGGAACGTCAACTGTCTATTAAGGACACAAAAGTGAAAAAAATTAAATATATAAACTCAAAATTAAATTTTGTTTTACTATATGTTTATATAATGCATTCTCTATGGCACATCCTGTGATGTTTATTTAACAGGGATGCACTGGTCCCGGGCGGAAGTCGGCCATCTTGTCCACCCATTTTTGGCGTTGAATGAATGAACGCTGTTTAATTGCCGTCTCCGATTCTCTGGATTCAACGAACCATATCCAAAATGTTATTGAAATTGCATAGTCAAATAGTTAAATGTCGAGCAATCGATAAAATGGTAATGTTATAGAAAAATATACTATCGCTTATATTGCTTAGAAGTATGTAAATGACATGAGTTCGTTCCAGCCACATACAAGACGATGGTTATGGCATAGTCAAAATAGCATCATATCGTCATCATCATATTCATCAACTGCTTGGCGTTCACAAAACTAGAACTACGTTGCCAACTCGTTACACCATTTACGAAAACTGTATTCAATTGTTAAATATATCACTAATCCTGATTCATCATATTATTGATATTCTTCTATCATCCTAAACATTCCCAACTGTTCGTCTTTTCAACTGAAAGGCTGAATATTTAGAACAGAATATTTTTATCCCTGAAATGAGCAATGAGAAACCACCTGAATATTTAAAAGTAGAAAAAAACGTCCACATTTGTATACACATATACCTACGTTATAGTGAGTAAAATAGTGTCAGCATTCTCTATTCTATGTTTTTGCCTTACCCCCCCCCCCCAACGCTTCAAATAGAAGTGTGCATGGAATCATGGGAAGAAACGATGTGCATTGCCATTTTCCACTGTCATAAAGGTGATTGACAGGTCATACTTGTTTACCACTCCGGAAGGACAATTTGAATCTACCAGGTGTGCTTATGATTTACATAAAAAGGATGTTTACGATCTACTTAGTTGCTTACGTGAGAGCTGTGCTAGAAAAAACACATTCTGATTGGCTCATGTGGAAACCAAAGTTGTGTATCTGAATCTGTGCCATTTATGCCTATAAATAGGCTAGACTGAGGACACTTTGGGTCCTTCATTTCTACTGAGTACCCTGTGTGTTCCTGCTATGATAATGGGAGACACGTGATACAGCCTTCAATCATCATAATGTGAGACTTGTATGAACTAGTCTGCAATCTCCTGCTTTCAATGGTGCCCTCC